CCCTCCCTCCATCAGGTGTCCCAGGCTACAAGCCTTTATTTAGACTGCTTTCCCTTTGTCACACAGTGGCTGATGGAGTCAACCTGCCAGGTTTTCGATTAGCATCCTAGACCATGGGCTATACCACCAGAGTTCTTGATGGTGCTATGACTCAGCGCCAATTCATACTAAATCGATATACAAACAACAAAAGTCTGCCTGATCCTGTGCCATGTTCACAATTCCTGATGTGCTTACGCCCATTCCTGTAGCCCTTGTGTCAATTCATCTCATTGAGACTCTTCTTCTCTTTGGCTGATCCTCTGCTTTTCCAAGCATGATGTCCTCTTTCAGGAATTGGCTCTTCCTGATCCTGACTTCTAAGGAGCGGGAGCATGCTGCCTAGATGTATTCTAAGACAGATTGGTCTACTCTTTTGGCAGTTCATGTATATTCCATGTTCTTTGCCAACATCACAATTTGAAGGCATCAATTTTCCTTAAGTCTTTCATATGTTCATTGTCTAATTCTCATACCATGGTGGCTTGTGTGCTGCTAGAATCTGAAGGAGGGTCATGTGCTAACAGACTGACCAAACCAAGTGTTGGTGAGGATCTGAAACAACTGGAGCTCTGATACACCACTGGATGAAATGTAAAGTGGGATAGCTGCTTTGGAAAGAATTTGACAGTTTCTTGAAACAATAAACCTACATCTACCATATGTCCCAGCCATTCCATTTCTAAGTGTTTATCAAAAGGAATTGCGAGTATATGACTGCACGAGAAGACTTGTATCAAATGCCCACAGTAATTGTATCTCCAAGAGCTAAAACCCAGAAACAATCCCTGTGACCAACAGGTGAGTAAACAAAATGTTGTATACTCGTACAACGGAACACTACTTTTCAATAAGGAGAAACAAACCATCCATGCAGCAGAGAAGCATTTCAGAAACATCATGCTGAGTGAGAGAAACACAGTGAAAGAGCAGGGACTAGATAATTCCTTTGTTAAAATGGAATCATTTCATTTGTATAGAGTTACAGAAAATGTAAATTGATTCATAATGACAAAAACAAATTCAGTGGATGCTTGGAAGATGGAGTAGGACCTGGGGAGACATAGGAAGAATGATAAAGGTCTGATCCCTAAAGAGGACACGCCTAATGTGTGCTTGAAATGCCAGCATCTAATCCACGGTCATTAAGATTTTCTCCTTGAACCATGTGGCGCATACTAAGGCCTACGACCCATTTTGCCACCTCTTCTCTGTCAGTTTGTTATACTGGGGTGGTTTGTGTGTTGCTGTGATGCTGGAGGCAATGCCATGAGTATTTCAAATACTACTTTGGCCGTGGTAATCTGATTTGGCCTTTGTCACATCATTTTCATAATCATTATTTTTTTAAGAAGTCCATGCTTATGAAACAATGATTATTTCCCTTTAGTTTATGTGCAACACAATTTTGACAAATCTCTGTTTGCATGATATCATAGGTGAGAATTGAAATTGCCACCCAATTCTCAGCTCTGCACCCATGGATCACAATTTCCTCTCAAAATGGGGATGAGACAATGACTGACAAAGAAGGACCATCCAGGACTGTTGAGACCCACTCAAATAAACCCTCCTCAGCAGAGAGCTACCTATACTCTTCCATAGCCAAGTAAGAGCTGGGGACCACTTTGTGTATTAATTTGCTCGTTTTTCTTTTTAAACATGAACGTTTTCTCTTCAAATGTCTAAAATGAAATAAAAGCCCAGAGGTTCCTATAAGGGCTGTCTTTTGGATGGGATCATGCAACAATGTTGTTGTTAGGTGCTGTTAAGTCGAGTAGGACACATTCTGACCCTATGAACAGCCATTCTGAAACCTGTCTTGTCCTGGTGCCATCCTCATTATCTCTGATACACTAGAGTCCATTGCTGAAGTCACTGTGTCAATCAATCTCATTGAGGGGCTTCTTCTCCTTCACTGACCCTCCATCTTTCCAAGAATGGTAACCCTTTCCAAGGAATAGCCTTACCTAGCTACATGCGACAATAGAAGTCATTTTTCACTCTTGACAGACTCATCATCATTTCTCTCCTTACGTCATCCTAAACTAGAGTATTCTTTTCCTGCTCAGTATGTCCTTTTGCAAATTGCTGTCCTTGACACAGAATGTTGTTGTTGCTGTTAAGTGCCGTCAAGTCGCAGGCAACTCATAGTGACCCTATGAAGGAGAGTCCTCAACGCTTGGGTGCCTATCATCCTCTCTCCAGGTTCATAGGGTTTCCAGAGGCAAGCTATTATGGAAGTGGGTGCCACTCCTCCTTCCACTGACACAAGAATAGCCTGTCTTAATTATTCTTTTATTTAGCCTATCTCCTCTTGCCACAAACCATCTCCCTCTCTGAGTTCTACTTTTTAAAATAGCACACCAATCATTGAAGTTAAAAATTTCAGGCTTGGCTTTTGACTACTTCTCTCCCATTTACTAACCCTAGTCAGTTCCATCTGTAAACTCTGTTGATTGGCTCAACTTCCAAAATATGTCTTAAATCATCAGTTCCTTTTTCCTCCTCCTAATCCTTTTTCTCTCTCTTGTTGTTGCTAGATGATACTGAGTCAACTACAAGTCACAGTGACCATATGAACAACAGATGAGCCCCTTGACCTATCCTGCAACAACCTCACCATCTCCAACACACTCAAGTTCATTTTCACAGTCACTGTCTCAATCCAAAACATAGAAATCATCAAATAGTATCACAGGCAAGTAAAATTTTGCTGAAGATTATTTAAAAACAGCTGGAGCTCTACAACGTTGACCGGTAACTGCCAAAAGTTCAAGCTGAATGCTGAAGAGGCTGTTTCATGAGGGAGAAATAGCACTGTAATGATTGAAGTTTCTTTATACTTTCAATATTGGGAACATCTTCTAGAGAGAAGTTCATTAAGGAAAGAAAGAATCTGAATGCCATTATAAAGCAACTAGAAGTAAAAGGCATATACAGGACACTCCACACCAAAATATCACCAAAAAGTGTATTCTAGTCTAGTGCATATGAATCATTTTCCAGGATACATAACACTTTAGGTCTCGATAAATTTAAAGATTGTTGTTGTAATTAGGTGCCATTGACTTGTCTACAACTCACAGTGACCCTATGAACAATGAGTGTGAACCTTGTCCTAACTTGTACCATCCCCACCTTCTCTGATACTCTCGAGCCTATTGTTTCAGTTACTGTGTCGATTCATCTTGTTGAAGGTCTTCATTTCCCCCGTCCCCTCTGATCCTCCATCTTTCCTAGCTTGATGTCATTTTCCAAGGACCGGTCCCTTCTAACAACATATCCAAAGCATGTGAGATGACTTGTTACCATCCTCGCCTCTAACAAGCACCCAGGTTGCACTTCATCCAAGATAGAATTGTTTGTGCTTTTGGAAATCCATGTGATATTCAGTCCTCTTTTCCAACACCATAGCTCAAAGGCGTTGTTGTTGTTATGTGCCGTTGAGTCACCGGCGACTCATAGCGACCCTATGTACAACAGCCCTAAACTCTGCTCTATCCTGTGCCAATCTCACTGTCTCTGACACACCCACCCTGATTATTCCAGTAACTGAATCAATCCACCTCATAGAGGGTCGTCCTCTCCTGCACTGTCCCTCCACCCTCCCAAGCATGATGTCCCTCTCCAAGGACCAGTCTCTCCTTACAACATGTCCAAAATATGTCAGACGAAGCCCCAGAATCCTTCCCTCCAAGGAGCAGTCTGGTTTAACCCTAGTTTTCTTAGCAGTTCATGGTATTTTCAAAACTATTCTCCAACACCACAGTTCAAAGGCATCAATTCTCCTTCTATCATCCCTAGTCATTGTCCAGTTCTCTGATGCATAGCAAGTGATTGCAAAGACAATGGCCTGTATCAGATGCACCTTAGTCTCCAGAGTGGCACTATTGCTTTTCAGGACTTTGGAGAGGCCCCCAACAGCAGACTTTCCCATCACAATATGTCTTTTAATTTCCTGGCTGCTGGTGCTGAGAGTGTTGACTGTGGAGCCAAGCAACTAAAGCTGTTAACAATCTCAATTTCTTCACCATCCATCCTGATTCTGCCAGTTGGCCCAGAGGTGAGAATCTTTGTCTTCTTGATATTGAACCACAATCCATATTGAAGGCTACAGTTCTTGACATTCTGCAGCAAGTGCTTCAAGTCCTCCTCAGTTTTAGCAAGCAGGGTTGTGTCATTTGCATAACACAGATTGTTAATCAGTCTTCCCCCAATTCTGATGCCACACTTCTCCTCATACAGCCCAGCCTCCTGGACAATTTGTTCAGCATATAGATTGAAAAGATATGTAGATAGGACACATCCCTGGCATGCACCTTTCCCAATTTTGAACCATGCAGTGTTTCCTTGCTCTGTTCTGATGACTGCCTCCTCCTGGTCCAAGTATAGGTTTTGCATTAGCACGATTAAGTGTTCTGGGATTCCCATTCTTTTCAGAGTTAGCCACAGTTTGCTGTGATCCACACAGTCAAACACCTTTGCATAATCAATGAAACACAAATAGACATTCCTCTGGAACTCCCTGCTTTCAGCCAAGATCCATCTAACATTAACTACAATATCCAGAGTTAAAATCATTAGAACCTACAAATTATTTTCTGTGACCTCAGCAGAATAAAGCTAGAAATAAATAACAGAAAATAAGCTGGAAAATGTACAAATATATAGAACTTAAGCAACACACTACTAAACTTCCAAGGGTTCAAGAGAGAAATAACAAGTTTTTATAAATATACTTTTTTCCTTTTTTATTTTTTATTAATTTCAATGAACATTTACAAAGATTTTTTATTTCCAGAAATAATTTTTTTAGAGTTAAATGAAAATAAAAACATGACTTATTGAAATATATAGGATGCAGGGAGTACAATACTCAAAGGGAAAATTAGGCGCTGCATCCTATCGCCTTGCCCCAGTCAGCCCCTCAGGTTCTCCGCTACAACTGTGGGGTCCTCATGGCAGCAGAGCCGCTGACTGAGCTGGAAATGGCCATTGAGACGGTGGTTACCACCTTTTTCACCTTCTCAGTGCAGGAGGGCAAGAAGGGCAGCCTCAGCCTCAATGAATTTAAGGAACTGGTCACTCAGCAGTTGCCTAACCTGCTCAAGGATGTTGGCTCCCTAGATGAGAAGATGAAGAGCTTGGATGTGAACCAGGACTCTGAGCTCAAGTTCAATGAATACTGGAGGCTGATTGGGGAGCTGGCCAAGGAGATGAGGAAGGAGAAGGCCCTGGAGATGAAAAAGAAGTAAAGGCGCCTGGCAGAGATGGGGCGGGCAGGGCAGGGCCAGGCTGGCCGGGCGGAACCCCACTCCCCCAAATAAAGTAGTTTTCCCTCTTAAAACAAACAAACAAAAAAAAAAGGAAAATTATAGTAATAAGTCCCTATATGAGAAAGAAGGTCTCAAGTTAGCAGTCTATCCCAAGAACTGGACATAAAAGACCAAACTAAGCCTAAACCTACTATGAGAAAGGAATCAGAAGAGTAAAGCAGGAACAGATAAAATCACAAGAAGAAAAGCACCAGAGATAAGAACTTGGTTAGAAAAGATCAAGAGAATAACTAAATTTTGGTTAACTGATAAAGAGGAGAAGATAAAAGATGCATATGACTACGGTGAAAGAGAAGACAGTACAATTAGCCTGGGACAAACAAAGAGAATGATGACAGAATATTATGAGCAATTACATGGATAACCCAGACGAAAAGGACAAATTCTTAGAAGCACATGAACCCCCCAAACTGACTCAAGAGGAAACTAACTTTAAACAGATCCAAAACAAGTGATGAGATGGAGTCAGTAACCAAAAACATTCCTCAGAACAATAACAAAAAATCCTGGCAAGGATTCGACAGCAATAATATCGTGTTTTTTTTTGTTGTTGTATATTCACAGCAATAAATTAATGAAAAAATATATAGGAGTAGCAGGAAATCATGTTTAGGTTACTGTAAGTATAGATGGTTGCATGCTGACCAATTTACAGGTATGTGCCTACATGTGTGTTAGTGTATATATATATATTTTATTGCTCTGCAAACGGAAAGGATTTTGAAGAAATAATTCCCCAATAGTAATGATTCTCTCTAGCACCCACATTTCTCATATATTTTGATAAAAGAAAGTAGGGCACCTTGAAGAAATGACTGATTCTATAACTGGGGCTGATACAAGACCACCCTGGAAAAAAAAATCTCATGTTATGTACCACAGAGTCAGAACCAACCCATAGCTGACACTTCAGCAGGTTATTGAGGCAGATAATCACGGAAGGAGATTGCCCATCTTTCTCCTACAGAGCAGCTGGTGGATTTGAACTGCATGCCTTTAGGATTGCAATGCAGCTCCTTACCACTAGGCCACCAGAGCTCCCTGGAAAAATCTCATAGTTCCAGAAAATACTAGACGATAAAACCAAATTCAGAATAATGGAGTATGCCAAAGGGACATAGGAATCAACTGAAAGAGCTCCAATGGCCAAATCTGGAATGTTTGAGCAACCAAAATAGTAGTATTCTTTTCTGTTCATTAAAATAACATTTTTTTAATTCCCCCCCCCCTTTTTTTTTCTTTTCTTGTGTACCGTCGAATTGGATCACACTGACACAAGAGGAGATTGTCCCTGCTTCTCCAAAAGAGAATTAGGTGAATTTGAACCATGATCCTTCGGAATTGTGGTGCAGCTTCTTTGCCACTAGGTCACCAGAGGTCCCTATTGAGCTCTTTGCCGCATTTACTGTGAGAAGACCATTCCCAGCAACCAGATTGTCAATATTCCAGAAAATATCGACATTACTCTGTAGAGCCACCCAGTTCCCATGAAAGGCCCATGGGGAACATTGTGGAGGGACTTCAATCATATCAGTGTAGAGCTCAGTCTCCTCAGAAAAGAAAGCTGCAGCTTCGCCTTGACAAATGGTGGGGGAATAGGAAGGAACTGGCTACTGTTTGCACCATCCGTAGCCAAGTACAGAAGAACATGAACAAGGGTGTTACACTGGGCTTTCCTTACAAGATGAGGTCTGTGTATGCTCATTTCCCCATCAACGTCATTAGTCAGGAGAGGATCTCTGGTTGAAATTAGAAACTTCTTAGGTGAAAAATTCATTCATAGAGTTCGAATGAGATCAGGTGTTGCTTGTTCAGTATCCCAAGCCCAGAAAGATGAGTTAATTCTTGGAGGAAATTACATTGAGTTTGTATCAAATTCGCTGCTTTGATTCAGCAAGTTACAACAGTTAAAAACAAGGATATCCTAAAAATTTTGGATGGTAGCTATGTCTCCTAAAAAGAAAAGGTTCAGCCAGCTGATAAGTAATAATGAGGAGTTTTTTCAGCTACAGAAATGTGGCCAGATGAGTTAAAATGCATTTAATTCTTGGAATAAAATTCTATTCATTTGGGGGGGAAGTAATATTGAAATATAGCCCATACTGATAAAAAGAAACAATTGAATTAATAAGTGAAGTAGAGAAACTAATCTCCCATTAGAAAAATTCCAAATAATGAATGTAGATACTCCATCCTCCAGCAGTGTGGGATAAATGCCCACTGCTTAAGTTTGGGCTGCACATTAATGGTTTCCTTCCAAAAATTACATATGGATAAGGGGGAAAGGGAGTAATCTTAAATAATTCAAAACTAAACTCAGTGCCATCAAGTCCATCCCAGCTCATGGCCACCCTCGAGGGCAGCAGAACTGTCCCTTAAGTTTTCCAAGTCTGTAAGTCTTTGCAGGAACATATGATTGCATCCTTCTCCCAAACTTTCAGTTAACAACCCCACACATTTACCCACTACACCACTAAGGCTCTTTAGTAGCCATACAGTTGTATATTAAATTCTACTGGTAAACACAATTTCAACCAATTCATACTCTTGATATACTATGATGAAAATAGTACCCTACTTTTGTGATCTTTTCCCCCAAAGCACTTGTTGTTGTTGTGTGCCACTGAATCAGAACCAGTTCATAGCTGACCCTCCAGCAGATTTTTCAGAGACAGATTTAATTGCAAGGGATTGCCCATCCTTCTCCCACGGAGTAGATGGTGGTTTTGAACCCCTTACCTTTGGGACTGCAGTGCAGCTTCTTGCCACTAGGTCACCAGAGCTCCTACAACATACAGCTCCACTATAATAACAATAAAAACATCCGATAAATCCCAACTGAGATTAATAAATCCTAACTTTACATTTCTAAAGACAAGGAAAGTTTGGGAATTAGTTATAGCTAAGAGTAGTGTATATTAGAAATTATAAAAAAT